GGAGATAAAGGTCAGGTTGAGGGAAGGGAGCACAACCTCACCCAGCACTCTGCAGACTGGGGCTGAAGCTTTGAGGGGTCCCTGACAGGGGATGAAGGCTGGGGATGGCAGCAGGACGGTGAGACACAGGGCTAGGGGATGAGGAAGAAGGAGGGGTGAGCACACAGGCTGTGTGGTCACCCCTTTGCATGCTCAGAGCTGCTCCCCACAGGCTGGCTGCCATGGAGCCACTGTCTGTGGGGCTGAGGAATGGCCAGGGACAGAGCAGGGCAGACGGCTACAGCGCCTGTGATCTGTGCAGCGGTGCCAACCGTGGGTGATGGATGGGTCTGTGTGGGGAGGGCGGTCGAGGCTTACTGCTCTGATGAGAAAATTATCGAGTGCCTGCAGGGTGCTCTGGGCAAATTGCAAAAGAAGAGAGCAGCCAGGCCATTCTCCCAGCCTTTCATCATTCCCAGAGTGGCACAGTGACAGTCGTGTCCGGCCAGGGAGCAAGCTCTGGGGGCACCCACAGCAGGATTTACATTGGCTGTGGCAAAAAGGCTTTGTCTCACTGGGGCCCATCAGCAGAGCGAGCAGGAGGGGAGTGAGGACCTCCCAGTGGAGGATCTGCTGCCTCTGGCCATGCGGTACCATGAGGATACAGGAAGCAAGCGCTGAGGTGGGGACAGAGCAGGATTGCACATCCCTCCCTACAGCCTGCAGAGATAACACCATGCTCAGGGACCACCAACCCACAGGCAGCCAAGCTGGTGGCACCAACAGCCACTCTGCCCCCCACACCTCACAGTCCCTGAGGTTAGCAAGGGGCACAACACCCTTCTGCACCCAGATGGACCTCAAAGGATGGGACCTGTCACCAAGCCCCATCTACTGCTGCCCGCTCAGGCGTGTGTGTGCCAGGAGAGGAGGAGGGATGGTGGGTCCTGCCTGCACACACTCAGCCCACTGCAGGGCTCAATAATTCAGGTCTGACACATTAAAGTTGCATGGCATGCAATTGCCATCTGCAATGACAGACTGCGTCAGGGCCCCTGTCTGATGGGCCCTGCCTGGCAGACATGGGCAGGCAGCGGCGGGAGGGACCGGCAGCCCCACAGGGAGGGCAGGCAGCGGGCAAAGGGCAGAGCATCCTTGCAGTGTGAGTTAGGGGTGGGAGGAGGATGTGGGTGGAAGCAAAATCCTGGCCTTTGGGAGCATGTGTCAGAGCAGGGAATGCTGCCTCAACGGCACTGGCAGCCCAGCAGGCAGGACAGGGCTGGGATGTGGGAGGCTGAGCCTGGGGTGATGCTCTCCCCAGGGCCACCCCGTTTTCCTGCATCACCTGTGTCCCCTGCAGCCTGCCTGGCAGGACAGAGGCCACAAAGGCTTGTGCTGTCCCAGGCACCCAGCCAAAGCCCTTCCCAGTTGTGTCTGTCCCCATGTCCCTGCAGTCTCCTGCCCTGGTAAATGGGCTCAAACTTCCCCAGCCTCCCCAGCACCGAGGAAACGAAGCTCTTCACCGGCTGTTCGGGGAATCGGTTGCCATGGGGATGTCGGATGTACCTGGTTGTTATAGGGACACCGTTACCATGGTTATGCAGTTCCTGTGCCTGGCAGAGGCAGGGATGGAGCACCAGGAAGGTGTTTACACTGGGAGGGTGGGAGTCACAGACACCCCAACACTCCGAGCAATGGGGAAAGGCAGAGTCCAGCCTTCACCCAAAGCACATCCCACAGGGCAAAGGCTGGAGACCATGAGGAACACATCAGCAAAGCTCATCCAGCCCTGTAGGGATGGACAGGCTGGTGCTCCTGACCCTACAACAAAGGGGAGCTTGCTGAAAGGATGCAGAGTCTCCCATGGGGTGCCCCTATATGCATGCTCCCAGTTAGTTTTGGTGGGAGAGATCATGCCGCATACCTTGTGCTGGGTGTCCCACAGGAGAGTAGCTTCACCATGCTTGGTGCCAGCAGCAAAAACCTTCCAGTCCTGCAAGACTGCATGTCCTGCACTTGCACCGCAATGCCCCTCGAGCTGTGCTGGCCTCCTGGGCTGGGGGATGGGTTTCTGCCCCGCTGGGGCTGGGGGGTGAAGTGGGGAGGGGGACTCCCAGCTCTCAGCGAGCAGCCTACGGGCCTGGGGGATGAGCTGGGCTGGCAGAGAGTGCCTGGATCCCCTCCAGTGCTGCTTGGCTGAGCTCCCTCCCCAGCAGCACGGTCAGCCACTTGGCCTGTCCTTGAGATGAAAAATGCAGTCGCAGGTTTAATTAAAATGAGAGGGAGCGCTGAGCCACCTCGGCAGCCTGGAGAAGCTGAGTCCAGCAGAGCCAATGTGTGGCTCCTCTGGGCTTCCCTGGGCAGCTCTGCCGGCTAAAATTCCTGCCTCCCTCTGCCAGGACCCCTCGGGGGTCCAGACCTGCATGTGCCACCCCATAGGGTCTGCTGTGGGGCAGGCCAGGGGCTGCACAGCTGCTTGCAAGGGGAATGCACATCCCACCAGACACTCACTAGGCTCTGTTATTGTAGGGTCTACACAAATCTGGCAACAGCAGGCGTGCACTTCAGCCCTACAGCAGTGAGCTGGAGTATGAGGAAGGGGTAAGGATGCTGATGGAGCACTGACACCTTTATGAAACTGGGGTGCATTTGTCAGGACCACCCACCAGGCTGGTGCACATGCCAGTGCAGCACAAACCCCGTGCTCGGCGTGCACTGCACTCCAGCGTGTTGCTGATGTGAAAGCTAAAGCTGACTTCCTCATTCATTCCCTGGGGGCTGCTACTGCCAGGGGGATGCGATTGGACTTAGTGAAGTGAGCAACATTTTTAATTAAAAAATTAATCCTTAATCTGCTGCCTGGCTGGACCAGACATGACATTTTGCATGGCAGAGAAAGGGCTGGAGGGTGAGCTCATAAGGGAAGGAGGGGGGCAGGTGCAGCTCCCCCAGGCCCCTTGCACAGTGACCAGGGCTCCTGCCTGGCCACCCGGGGCTGCCCAGCACACCCCCACACGGGGCTGGCTCCCCATGGCCATCACCCTCTGCAAGGTCCAGAGATGCAGGCAGAAAATCTCTGAACCCATCACCAGCACCGTGGCCCTCACCAGCTCACCCCTCCTTCTGTTCTGCCCACCTCAACCCCACCATCCCACCAGAGCACTGGGACAGGCTTCCCAGAGGGGTTGTGGAGTCTCTTTCTCTGGAGATGTTCAAAACATGCCTGGTTGCCTTCCTGTGCAATTCGCTCTAGGTGATCCTGCTTTGGCAGGGGGGGTTGGACTGGATGATCCCCAGAGGTCCCTTCCAACCCCCACCATTCTGTGATTCTGTGATCCCCTCCAGCCATCCCTGCAGCCCCCCAAGCCCACCGTGCTCTGGCCAGCTGAGGCCCAGCTCCCAAGCAGCAGGTTTAATTAGATTGCAATCCTATTACATAGCTGCCTGCCCACCCACAGTTGCTAATCCTGTTAGGCATCCAGTAAATCTCCCTGCATTGGGCTTTGTCCTCCGTGTACAGGGAGGGAGCTGTTGACGGGTGGGCTCTGCTGAGCCAGGATGTGACTGCTGGGGTGCAGAGCTTTGCCTGGGGACTCACTCCTGAAGACCTCTGTGGGGTTGGGAAGAGCCCAGGAGGTTGGAGCAGTCCCCAGAGAGGTGAGAAGAGGGACTCCCCTCTCCTCTCTGGTCCATCTTGCCCCCTCTGAGCTGCAGGAGCTGGGTAGAAATGCCCACACATGCAGCCCAGGTGTCAGCCACCACACCACAGTCATCGCTGGCTTCAGTGGGTGCTGAACTCAGGGCTCTGACCACGGTGTGGGACAAGGAACAGGGGGCTGAGACAGGATTGTCCCAACCAGATGGAGGGGTACAGTCCATGCAATGCCTCCTCCCACTGATGCTCAGTGACCTGCAGAGACAGGGCAGGTGATTATGGCTGATGGCAACAACAGGGACACAGGGTCACTTGCCCCACCACTCCTGGCTGGGTGCACCCATGTGTGGGGTGCCAAGGGGGGGCTGCTCCAGGCAGCAGGGTGACACCAACAGGCTGTGGCTCCTAGGGACATGGCCCTTGCAGGCAGTGTGCTCTCAGACATGTGCATCGACATGGCAGGCAGCACCAGCACCACTCCCCAGCGGCAGTTTCCCCCAGGGCTATGGGCTCCCTGCAGTCCTGCCAGCTTGGAGGGGACCCAAACCGCAGGGGTCCTGGCAAATGGCTTCAAACTGGAAGAGGGTAGGTTTAGATTAGGTATTAGGAAGAAAATATTTACTGTGAGGGTGATGAGACACTGGCCCAGATTGCCCAGAGAAACTGTGGCTGCTCCTCCCTGGAAGTGTTCAAGGCCAGGCTGGATGAGGCTTTGAGCAAGCTGGTCTAGTGGAAGGTGTCCCTGCTGATGGCAGGGGGGTTGGAACTGGATGAGCTTTAAGGTCCCTTCCAACCCAAACCATTCTGTGATTCTATGACTCCAGCTGCCCTGGCACAGCACAGCTGCCCATGGGTCAGGCACTACAGCTGTGCTGTGAGAGCACAGCATCATGCCAAAATCATCCCAGCTCTGCAGTCTGCCCTGCAGTGAGCCAAAAGACCGCAGCCCCTGGCCCCCCACCTCTTGCCAGACAACTTGCTCTAGACTGGAGGTCCATCAGCCACAGAGCAGCCCACTGCAGAGTAGCAGCTCTTGCTACAGACCCCTGAGAGAGAGCTAGAGACCATTCCCATTCCCTGCTCCACACCCGGACTTGTCCCCCAGCACCTCCATGACCCAGCAAAGAGAGGACCATGGCCCCAGCTCAGCCTCGAGCTCCCCCACCTCTGCACCAGACTGAGCCACTGCAACTCCCAGAGACAAGTTCAACCAGGCTGTAATTGCAAGAATAGGGTGGCACAGGTGTCCGTGTGCCCACCCAGAGCAGTCCTGGCACTCCTGGGGATGGGTGGCCGGCAAAGACAGTGGGTGCCAGGCCCCATGGGTCTGCTGTCCATGCCGGAGGAGTCCGGAATGCTGTTGGCATCAGCTGGTACAAATGCTGTTGATGGAGGCCACGGCTGGGTCGACGAGCCCCAGCTCCTCCTGTTCGTTGACGCAGAGCTGGTAGCCACAGCCCTTGCGGCGGGGGGGCGGGCCCCCGCCC